GGGGGCCTTGGGGGGGGGCCAGTATAATTTGGAGATCACTCATGTCGATTCTGCAAATTCAATAAAGTGCAGGGGAGAGGAGGGAGAGGGAGAGGCAGAGTGGGGGGATAATTTGGGAAGAGAAAATTGCAGCTGTGACAAGACGTTTATCATTCGGAAGCTTTAATTCTATTGAAATGGCAGCTGCTCAGCTCCGGGGCACAGAGCAGCCAGGAGAGGGGAAGGAGGGAGAGAAAGGGGGAGTTGTTGGTAGGAAGGAGAGGGGGTCCCCACCCTCGTCCTGTCCTTCCACACTGAAAAGAGGGAAGGTGGCCCAAAGGGAGGAGGAAGTGACAGCCTTTTAGCAATAGGTCCAGTTCTGCACCAGGCTCAGAGTTGTCACACAGCATAGCCAGCAGCGACCACTTCCTGAGCTCAGGACCAGGGACTCTCAGTCTCTGGTGCAGGCAGGTAGCAGGACATCCAGTCCTTCATTCCTGGCTGGGGCTTCTGATACATTAGTCAGACCATCTTTCCCTTCACCCCTCCCCACAAAGGGCTGGAGGGGGGTCCTGCGGCCCCCTCCCCCACCCCATCCCCCAAGGCTCAGGCTCCATGGCAACGGCCACGCAGACAAGGAGGCGTCTGTCAGCGTCATTTATCTCTGACATCATCAATCACCGGTCACCATGGCAACACCCATGATTCAACACAAGAGGGTCTCCCTGTCCAGCTTTTTCCTCCCTGTCCCTCCCTCCATCAGGGCCTCAGCTGGGCCCAAACTGGAAACCCCCTGTTCCTCTGGGATCTGAGAAACCTAATTCTTTTCCAACTCTGGGTCCCAGGCTTATCCAAATAATGGCTTCAGGGTTCCTCCATCAGACTCCCCCTAATACCCACTTCACCCTGGAGTTCAGGCCCCTCCCCAAACAGGAAGGGACACAATGGGAAGAGACTCAGGTATGTTATTCCAAAGCCAAACAGAGCCCTCAAGGGAGTCACCTTGGGGAAGGTGCCCATGTACACACATGCAAGCACACAGAGTCAGACCTACAAATGGGGTGGTTCTGTGTACTTTGTGCTTGAGCACTGAATGATACACGGACACAGAGCCTGCCAGATTCACAGACCAGCTCATGAAGCACTCTAGAAAAGCATCCTTAACCAGGAGCCTGCCTGCCACAGTACACGTTCCCACATGTGCACATAGACACACTGCTCCCCCACCCCAGCCTTCAGAAGCACTTCAGGCCCCACCTGGGGTGGAGCTTGGCCCCGGCCCAAGACACTCACACTCCTTGGACATGCCCACTTCGAAACATTTCTGCAGCCGGCAGTACTGGCAGCGGTTCCGGGTCACCTTGTTGATAATGCAGTTCTTGTCCCGGTGACACGTGTATACCATGTTCTTCTGGATACTGCGGCGGAAGAAGCCCTGTAGATGGAGGGGAGAGAGTCAGGTCATCCACAGTAGGAGCAGTACCCTGACCTGGAGCCTCAGCCTGGGAGGAGCACCAGCGCAGCGGGCTCAAACTTTGGTCGTCGTGTACCTGAGAAATAGATGATTCTCCTAAAATGACATTCCTCAGGACAACTCGGGCCTGTCTCTATTCCACAAAGTGGCCACATCTTCCCTAACCTACATCCCCATACCAGACTCTTCAGAATAAAAAGACCTGAGAGCTGAGTCTGGGACAGGAACACACAAAGCTGGATGGGGCCAGATGTGCCAGCACTCAGGAGGCAGAGGCAGGTGGATCTCTGAGTTCAAGGCCAACATAGCGAATTCCAGGGCAGCTGGGGCTACAGGGAGACCCTGTCTCAAAAAGACAAAAAAAAAAAAAAGCTGAATGGGGGGAGGCAGAGGTCTGAAACCCGCAGCTAAGGACTACAATGTAGTAAGAAAAGACAGCAGGGTCTGTATACATATAGGCATGCACACACATGAGCAAGGCAAAAAGACACATGCAACAACCAGACACATGTTAGCCATAAAGAAAAGTTGCCATAGGCTTTGCAGCATAGGTTAGCATAGAGACTGACTGACTAGGCAACAATAAGCCAGGATGAAGCAGATAGTGCCAGCACACACAGACTGTCAGAAGTCTGTATTGTGCCCCTGACCTTGGTCTTAGGGATGGTTACTGCAGACTGGAGGTTCTAGAGCCCAGAGCCCCAAGTACTAAGGATGCACAGCTTCTAAGCCCTTATCTTTGAGGAAAGAAACTGGAGCAGAGGCTTAGGCCTCAGGTAGAGAAGGCTCAGAGCTGCTAGGAAAGAACACCCACAGCAGTGCCTAGAGACCAGCATGACTGGATGGGAAACCCAAGAGACTCTGGGAAGTCCATAGCCTGGATACCTGAAGGGGAAGCCAAGGCAGGGTGTCTGCTCCTAGCAGAGATGGCATGGCAAACTTTGGGCAAGGCCATTGGGGGCAGGCCTCCTGGGTCCCCAGCCAAGAGCCAGGCAACAGCCAGCTCACCATGGCAACCTGGGCAACAGTGGTAGGGCCAGAGTATACTCTGCTAGCTGGGGGATGGAGACAAGCAGAGCTCAACAGGAGGGGACCACTGGTTTGGGGGAGCCCTACTCATCCTTGGAGGAGACTCCGCAGGCATCCCTCATCCTCCACAGCTGCTGAAGAGGCAAAAGCAGGAGGCTTCAGGGGTACGGCTGCCAACTACATGCTCAGGACAGCAGTGGAGACATCCCATTTATCTAAGCAATAGTGTCCTTCCAGGTAACCCCTTTACTCACCTTGCAGCCCTCACAGGCACTGACCCCATAGTGGTAGCCCGAGGATTTGTCCTGACAGACAAAACAGGGCTTGTAGATTCGGGGCAGGGGTGGCGGCGAGGGAGGGCTGGGCACTATCTCTTCTGAACTGCTGCTCTGAGTCTCGATGGCTAGGAGAGAAGAAGGGAGGGGCAGTTAGAGACACAGGTCACCATCCTCTGTACCCTGTCCATCCTGCCTACAACAATCCTGTCCTCACCACTGAGGGAAAAATTTAAAGTATAAACAGGGAGGGTCTTCAGAAACCTGGTATTTACCAGCCAGACATGGAGAAGGAGGCTAACAGGTTTTTTTTCCAGCTCCCATCACTTCTAGCCAACAGCACCCACCTTCGACTCGAGATTTGTGTGTGTGTGTGTGTGTGTGTGTGTGTGTGTGCATGTACTTACACAGCATACATACATAGCTATAGTTGGAGAGGGAGGGAGTCAACCTAATTTCAAAGCCCTGGACCCTGGGTACTCTGGCCACGGCTACCCCAAGTTCAGGAGTTAAAGCTCAATGAGAGAGGGAGGGAAGGACATGGGCTGGGGGTAGAGGAAACTGGGGTCAACAGGATATTCAAAGCCAGCCACTCCCTAGCCTTTCTGCCAACCCCCTCCCCCCAGCAATCCACCCCCTCTGACAGCAATCACAGGCCATCCTCCACCCAAACAATCCCCTGGCCAAGGTGGGGACCAAGGGGATGTACAAAGAAGAATCATAACTGTTGGAGAGTGAGCAGATGGGCTCTCCCTGAGCTAGGTAGGAGGATTTCCTAAAGAAAGGGAGAAGAGTCCTCATGGCCCCCAGAAGCCCATCACTCTGTGGGTACCCCCACGCTGGGGGAGAGACAGTGTGACAAAGGGGGTCTGTTCCCATCAATGCTCTGTCTGTCTGGCCTAAATACTATGTCCGGGTTACTACCCCCTCCGTTCCATTTATTCAGCTCCAAGAGGGCAGCCAGGAGGGGTGACCCTGCCAGCAGGGGCAGTGTCCCCCCTCATCCCATCAGTAAAACTTCCCCAGTGCCTGGCTCCATGCCCATCACACCAGGCAGAACATGGCTGCCTGGGTGGAGGCTGACTATGCCCAGAGCCTGAGCAGTTGGGAATGCAGTGGAAGAGGTAAGAACTACAGCAGAGGCAGCCCTGAGTTCCAAAGGGCCCCCCAGCATCCTCCTGAGGCCTTTGCCACACCCAAGAGCCAAGGATGGGTGAGAATCTGCTTCCTCGCACAGAGTACCACCTAATTCCACCCATACCCTAGTACACAAAAAGCTGGCATATATAGTACATAAAAAGCTGGCACACAATTCCTGTGCCCAAGTACCTCACAGCACAAATGAGTCCTGTGGCCGCAAAGCCCAGGCAAAGAGGTAGGTAGGATGCTTGGGGACACTGGAGGTTGGCTGCTAGGAAGTTGACAACAGGGAACCAGGTCAACAACTTTGGCAGGGCTTTCCTGGCTCCTACTTGGGCCTGGATATCACGTCCCTAAGTCTGCCTGTCAGCACTGTGGTAGCCCATGTCCCATTCCCTGACCAGAGACCAGTCTGCAGGAAAGGGTCCTGCAGCAAACTGCTCCTCCTCATCGGAACATCAAACTGGCCTGCCCCGTTTGTCACCCTACTTCATTCTCCCCAGGCCAGACAAGCAAATCAGACAGGCAGGGAGGCCTGAGAACAGCTGCTGGGGGGTGGGGTGGGGGGGCCTGGGTGAGGCCAGGAGGCAAAGGGGTGAGTGACAAAGGAACCTTTGTTGTGCTAACTTTTTCCAAGACGTAAAAAGCAGCAACAATAGACAATCCAGACTTGGGGGGGGTGTCAAGGACAAGGGGGGGCCTGGTCTCAAACCCTGGTCAGCATTCCAGCAAGCACAGGAAAAAGGCATTGACCCACCTCCCCGCCCCTACTACCCTTTGCCCTGGGCCTGTTCCCTAGCCCCTATCTCCACACTGAGCCAAAACAGAGGAAGGAGAACTGAAGGAGATTTGGGGTACAGAGGGGAGGGAGGTGGGGCTCACAGAGACAGAGGATATAGGATGAAGAGCAGGCAGCCAAGGACAGACCAGAGAGGCAAAGGCCCAGAGATATTTGGAGCTAAGGCAAAGTCCAGAGAGTGTTTATTGAGCTGAAAGAATGTACTTTTGGAAAATTGTTTTTTGGCAAGATGGGAGACATAACCAAAGGGGGTGGTGGCCAGTTTGGGCTGGGTGAGGCCTCTTTTCAGCCTACCCCCCAGCAGCAGGCTACCCTTGAGTCTGTACCAGGTCTGCACCCCACCCCCACTATATCCCCACCTGTCACACAGGTAACTCAGTCTCTGAATTTTCCAGCTCTGCTCTTTGAACCCAGAGCCTAAGGCCCAGTCCCCACCTCCCAGGCCTGCAGCCAGCAGCCCAGAAAGGCCAGTATTAAGACCAATCCAGAGGTGTGCGTCCTCTGGGCCTCTGCAATAGTTAGGACACAGCTACCGCGCTCGAACGAGGGGTAGGGACTACCCTGGCCTGGCCCCACCCAGCGGGCCACCCTCCCTAGAGGCCCCAGCCCACAAATCTCTCTTCTTCCTGCAGAAGGGCTGGGACTGGAAAAGGACCAGACCTTCTAGCTCAAAGTTCCAGAGTGCAGCCAAGGGCTGGATCCGGCCCAGGAAGCCCGGCCGGCGTCCCCTCCCGCTGCCACTGCCAGGGTGCCCCTCCCCCCGCGCCCCTCCTGGGCGGGCGCGCGGTGCTCGGAGTCCCCACGCCCCAGAGCCGTTCGCAGGCTCGAGCAAAGGGGCCAGTTTCCTGGAGGAGATCAGCAGGAAATCAGTTGGGCCGGTGGCCAGCGGCTCCCCTCCCAATCCAGCTGGCGCCCTCTCCTCCGCAGCTCCCCTCGCAAACCCCTGGGGAGGCAAGGGGAGGGTGGCTCTGCGTGCAGCACGGCTGGTGGGCCGGCTCAAGACCCGAACCTTGTGGCCGAAGATAAGCATCTCTCCCCTCCCCCACTACGGGCATCCAAGTGCTTCACATTCTTGGACGTCTGGGAGCGGGCAGAGGCGTGAGCTGCGGAGACTGGTGGGGGACAGATGGGGAGCCACATCCTGTGAACCCCGTGTCCTCTAATGCACTGAAACGGAGGCTGTGGAGGGAAGCAAGGTCCTCAGGCTCCTCAGACCTGCTGGTCTCCCCACAGCCAACCTGCTCTTTTCCCACCGCTGGAAGAGGCATGGGTTAGTAGTCTCCAAGACAGCTAGAGGTGACTCCAGGCAACAGAAAGCCCCCACACACCTAAAGGTTCTTTACCAAGGTGGTGACTGACATTGGCCACAAAGGCAGAGGTCCGGGGGCCAACCTGACTACAGGTCTGTGTGCCTCAGGGCAATCCTATGGCCTCCAACAGGGGTAAACACCAGTGAACAGACACCTCGAGCTGGCCTCCTCCTCTCCACCCCAGGTTCCCCTACCCCATCCCAGGTTCCGTGTACAGAGGGCTCACCACTTCCCCATGTCCAGTGGCTGGAGGAAGCCAGGCTCCCCACATGGGCTGTCTGCCCAGTTCTCTGTTATCCTCCTCCCCTCCAGTTCTGAGCCAGGAAGAGCGCCACTGTCCGGGAGGGCTTGGGAAAGAGGAGCTGGAACCCAAGAGCTCAGATTCCCAGCTTCCCCTAGTGCTGTGAAGACAGTAGGGGAGGTGGGGGGAGGCCTGGAGACCCAGCCTCAATTATCCTGAGTGGGGAGTCCCTTCTCCAGTGTTGGGATAATGGGAAGGGTCCTGGTGCAACCTCTCACTTCTTTTTTCCAAAGCCAATGATCACCCATCCCTCCCTGGCTGCAACCTCACAGCTGATTCTGCCTTGGAGGCAAAGGTCAGGGAGCAGGACAATAGGAAAGGCTGGGGTTGAGGTGTCTCTGGAAGGGCAGGGGTGGGCTGTCATTCACCTTAGATCTCTCTTCCCATGCAAGGGGGGCTGTGGGTGGGCAAATCCTTTGCACTCCATCTTTCCCCAATCTGCTAGGCCCCCAGGGACTCTGGCACACAGAAGGGTGGCGGCAGGTCTGGGAAGGTGGGAGAACCTCCTGGGAAGAACTGAGCCCTGAGCAGGGCAGGTAAAGAAATCTGAGCCACCTAACAATAACCCCTTAGCGCCAGCTCCCCACCACCCAGTGCACACTATGTCACAGCTGGGCATAAACACACCCAGGTGTGCACTGTACCCTGAGGCATGCGCACAGGTCCAGGGTGTGAAGAGAACCTTCCCTCCCAGAGGAGCCTGAACTCAACTGAACCCAGGCTGGAGAGGGTGCTCAGCTGCCAGGACATCAGGGTTCACACCAATAGCCCTCTTAGAAATAGCACAAGGCCTGGCCTTAACCCCTTGACAAGCTAACAAAAGGATTCATGGGTGGTGGGGTTAGGAGGGGATGTGGTCTCATTTCCAGAGCAGCCCCAGCCCCTCAAACCCAAACATCCCATAGAGAACAACACCAATGAAGATTAAGGGAAAGAGGAGTCTTCACATCAGAGCAGCTTCTCCCCTGGAAGATGCCAGTCAAGTGCCTGGGGCCAGGACATTCCCTCAAATGGACTAAGTGCCCCTCAAAATGTAAGGGTTGGCCAAGACAGCAAGTGTCTGTTGAAGTTGCCCCTTTCTGCCACACTTCACTGTCAACACCAACAGAGAGCACTCCCCCTGCCACCTTACTCTAATGAGGCAAGAATAGGGGCTGGGGGCAGCAGCTGTCACACAGGATGGAATTCTCCCCAGGCTTTGACAGGTGGGGGATTTGGGGAGGTAGCCCCTCCTCCTTGGAGTAGATAAGCCCATGGCCAGGACCTTTACCCTACCCTCTAACCTATAGTGGAGCTATGGGATCCCAACCAAGAAGATGTAAATTAGGGGCAAGAGGTTGGGGCGTCGTCTCTGGGAAGAAGGAATGAACGAATGTTTCCTGGAGATGGAACCCACAAAGTTCCTCAGGCCTAGCATAATCCTGTCCCAGGGTCACTGGGTGGAGGGCAACTGTCCAGCAAGGGCAACCAAGTTACATCAAGGCAGATGGGAATAAAATGAAGGGTAGAGAGGCCCCAGAGGGCCCTGACGCATCCCTGGGTAGGAGTGAAAGCCCACCGCCACCCCCACCCAGCTCC